ATATCAATTGCGTCAGTGTCAACTATAAATTCTTTGCTTGCATCAGGGTTTCCCAAAATAGGTGTTTTGCACAGACGGTCCTTGAGCTCCTGGAATGCGATATTGCAACTTTCATCCCAGCGGAAAAGTCGCTTCTCCTCGGTTAGCTTATGCATAGGTTTGGCTATATCTGCAAAGTTCTTCACAAACCGCCGGTAATAGGAGCACAAACTCAAAAATGCTCTAACCTGCGTCTTGTCTTTTGGTACCGGCCAATCCTTGACAGCGGCGATTTTCTCTGGATCCGTGCGGATGCCCTCTTCCGATACTAAATATCCCAAAAAGTTAACTCGCCGTTTGAATATTGAACATTTCTTCGGACTCAAATTGAGGTTGGCACTCTGAATCTTCATGAGCACGCGTTCCAGGTTTTGAAGGTGTTCCTCAAACGTACGGCCCACGATGATGATGTCATCCAAGTAGACCAGACAGGCATCGCCAATTAGCCCGGTAAGTACAAGTTCCATCAGCCTTTCAAACGTTGCTGGAACATTGCACAACCCAAACGGCATTACTTTAAATTGCCACAGACCCTTTCCCGTCGAGAACGCAGTTTTCTCCTTGTCCTTAGGGTCAATTTCAACTTGCCAGTTGCTACTTTTTAGATCCAGCGTGCTAAACCACTTTATTCCTGTAAGCATGTCCAGCGTGTAATCAATTCTTGGCAAGGGATAGCTGTCCTTCTTCGTAACATCGTTCAGACGGCGGTAGTCAACACGAAACCGCATGCTGCCATCCTTCTTCTTTACTAGCACCACTGGTGAACACCACGGACTAGAAGGAAGGTTCAATAACACCATCCTTTACCATTCCTTTAATCATGGTTTCCACTTCCTTTTCACGTGCTACCGGCAATCTTCTTGGTCGCTGACGGATAGGCAATTCTTCTCCTGTGTTTGTTTTGTGTTGAACTAAGCCAGTCTTTCCTATGTCAGCATCGTTTGATGAGAATACATCGGCATACTTGAGTAACAACTTCTTCGCCTTGACCATTTCTTTCGGGGAGAGAACGCTGCGACAGTCTTCCAAAAGTGTGGTCACTCTCGTTTGTGCATCCTAGCTGGGGGTCTCACTCGATAGATATTGGCACCGACGTAACCAATCCACTTCCTCAGAAGTACCAACCAGCGTGCCTTTTTCTATAATCTATTCCCGGTCACAAAGGTTCAGCACACGTACTCCTTGAGATGTCAGTGGTTCTGACCAAGGTTCGAGCCACTTTCCATGGAAGGTCATTGTTTACCCTTTCCAAAAGTACACAACGGTGAGCTTGCCCAGCGTTTCCGGGAAGACTAACCGGAACAAACGTTTACGATCTCGGCGGAAGAACAATCTTCTTAATGCTGTACACGTTCCCTGGTAACGCACCTTCCATAAAAAGTTCCTCCTGTCCACATTTCAAAACACCTTGCTTAACGTCGATCTCACAACAATTATTCCTCATAAAGTCTAGGCCCAGGATGCAGTCATCCATTATATCAGCCACGATGACACTATGCAGGTAGATCACGTTGCCTAGCTTCAACTCCATCTCCTTCTCTCCACGGACGGGTATACGCTGACCGGTGACTGTTACCAAATTAATGCGTTCTCGGTTGTATGCGGAGTCCCCAAGGAACTGACTTATAAGTTGGGAACTAACAACCATGCGAGAGGCTCCAGTGTCTATGGTCAGTTTACACGGCATTCCGTTGACCTCGCCCTTGATGAATTATACTGTTCCCATCATGGGTTTGTGAGATCGAGATCCTTGGGGCTCTTTTAACATCAGCCATCACCCGCCCCGCAGTTCTGGCTTTTATTCGTTTCCCTGCTGCTGCTGGGCGGTGCTTTTGGTCGCACTACCCTCCTGAAATCGTTCACCTTCCCTTTCTAGAGTTCGCTTAGGGCAGCTGGATCGAAGATGGCCCTTTTCCCCACAGCCATAGCACCTAGGGCTGTATCCTTTGTTGCGGTCGCGAACTCTAGCTGCTGCAACCTCCTTGATGCGATGGTAACGATAATCCTGCCGCACGGCTTCCACCTCCAGTGCATGGGCCAAGGCGTCCTTAATTGTTTTGTGGTGCCCGAGCCTCATAGCAGCTCTGACTTCCAGGTCGCGGATGCCGTCGATGAATGTCTGCACCAGGTTCCCTTCAATGAGCGCAGGTACAGACCGGTATGCTTTTCGCACCAGCTTCTCCACCTCTAGAGCCCACTGCTGCAGGTTTTCGTTGATGCGCTGCACGCGATCTTTAAGCTGCGCACGAATGACGTGTTCCAGGTGAGCGTCGCCATATCTCGACTCCAGTGCCTCAAGGAGTTGCTCATAAGTCACTTCCTCACCGAGAGCTTCCAGAACTGTTAAGGCCTGGTCGCGCAGGCCTAGTGTGAGAGCAGTCAGTGGTCTGACTTTTATTTTAGCTGTTCGCCTTCATAACAGCTTCAAACTGGATTTCGTAGGCTGACCAGGAAGAAGTCCCGTCGAACGGTGGCACCTTGAACCCACGTAGCGAAGGTGTTGCAGCTACTACGGGTGCTGTAATTGCATCCCCCAGTTTGAGGTCATCCAGCGTTTTCTTCACGTCAGCCACCACGTTGTCAACCCGATTGTTCACTTGGTCCATTCGGGTTTCAGCTTTCTCGATTCGGGTTTTAGCTTTCGTGATTTGGGTTTCAGCTTCCGACAGGCGGTTATCATGCTGAGCAACCCTATCCTTCACCTCGTTTATCTCCTTCCCGAAGGTAGCGTGAAGGTCCTTCATGAGGATCATTTGCTCTTTCAACCGACGGGCCTGTTCATCCTGTACGCTCTGCAGCTGCTCTTTCAACTGACGGACCTGTTCCTCCTGTCGGCGAGCCTGCTCCTCCTGTTGGCGAGCCTGTTCCTCCTGTCGGCGAGCCTGTACCTCCTGCTGCTCTTTCAACAGACGGGCCTGTTTCTGTAGCATCGCCATCAGAGCACCTAAGTCAGGTGCTGCAGATGTAGGAGCTACTGACGGGCCCGCAGCCTCCGTAGCCGGCAGTTGGCCCTCCGACGTCTGCGGCGTTGCACCACCAAATCTCCTCTGGTCCGTCTCATGCTGTCGTTGACTGCGGGACACCCTCCGTTTCCTCCTAAGGTAAAATCGGCATGATTTTATCCCACTTCTGACACCAATTGTTACGAGCTTGAGGTTCGTGACAATAAAAATTGCCGATAGAAATACCTAAATTAACACTTTAATTTTCTTTACACTAATTAAAACTTAAAACACTAAAAATTAATCACACTGATTCACTTTATCCCGCCCCGAAGCTTTGCTTGTCTCGCCAAATTCAATACTTCCCCGATCGCACCTTGCAGCGCCTATAAATACACATTAGTACCAAATCATCCAAAACATTCAAGTTGTTCGTTCTCTTACAATATATGTACGCAAACTTGTAATTTATAGTCAGTCGCAATTAAAAAATCGAAGAGTAATGACACTATGGTTATCATTTACACGTCATACAAACAAAAGTGCACCTTAACTACATCAACATATAGTCGCAATCGTGCCGGACCGATCAGCGAAAAGGGATTAAGTGCAGGTGCAGGTAAAAAATTCCGGCCGACCGCGTGAACAATACATCTCGGGCGCTTCAACTCGTAAACAAGTTACGTAACGCTAACGCAATTAGCACAACATATTTCTCGACTGTAATAATAACTGGAAAAAACATGAGTTCTTCGGCGGAATTACTTAGTTCTTTAGAAGATATTGCTGCTTTACTTAAGAAAACACAAACCAACTTGAGGAAATGTCCAAAGACGCGTCTTCGTCGTCGCGTAGATGATTATTGGAATTCGTTTAAGACTGCGCATCAAGAGTTATTAAGGATTACGCCGAAGGAAAAAGGGGGAGTTTTACCTTACTTTCTCAATGAAGATTTTTACATATATGAAGATTTTTACATCGTTTTACAAGCCGATCTACGTGATATGTTAACTTCTGTAAATTCGTCAACAACGTCGGGTAATACCTCCGTATCCGAGCATAATATGGAGCAAACACGAAGCGAAAATTCCCTTGTGAAGCTGCCGAGAATTCAATTACCAACATTTAGTGGCAATTACGAAGAATGGCCCACCTTTGAAGATTTGTTTACTTCACTTATACATAACAACAAGACGATCGAAGACGTACAAAAATTACATTATTTAAAATCAAGTCGCACACCTAGATCTAAAGAGAGCTAATTCAAAAAATCTCATCACCAAGCACCCAATAAAACCGATTCAAAAATAGTTCTATTACTCAACGCTAGATGATGTTAAAAGCCCATTTTGTTGAACGAGCGAGCCACGCTTTCCCCCACTAAAACAGGGACATCGCTAGTTGTAACCAGTATTTTATGCGGAACGCACGTGCCCGTTGTAGACAAATCGGAGTTATTTTGAGTTGATTCCCTGTTCTTGAGTTAAACAAAGGTTTTTATTTAACATTATTTTGAGTTGTTGCTGTTTTTATGGTTAGTGCTGAGTAAATAAAAGCTACATTTTGAGTTGAACCAGTGTTGATAGTAAGGTAGGCAATGTTTTTGTTTTTATTTTGAATTGTTACCATGTTGTTATAAATTTTTTTGAATTTGTAGTTAAGCCTGTTTTGTTGAGTCATTTTTTAAACTCGTATATTTCTTTAGAAAACAAATGAAATTGAACTTTTTTGCTAGCGGTGGTTGGAGTCTGCTCATCTTAATAATATTTTATTTTTATCCCAGTAACTACACAGTTTGTTGTGTTTTTACTGAACAGTTTTTAAGTTAGAGCTGTTTAGATGGTTCATTTGTTTTCTTTTACTATTTCAGAAAAATAATGAATCGTGGACGGTTTTTAGTAAACATGGTTGAAGAAAGGGACAAAGAAAACATCAGCCCTAGCTTACTAACCCAACCAGATACTAGACAGGAGTTTGAACCAATAATACAAAAGGAGAGAGATTCATCTAACGAAACTCATGCAGCCTTATCCGTGGAATGGTAAATCTATTCCGAGCACATATAAACAACAGCAGGCTAGTACACCAAATTATTATATTTCACCAATCCAAAGTGACCAAAGTGATTTTGATGACTCAGGTGAGGATCCCAATTACCAATTGATTAATAAAAGTAAGACACTATCTCAGATCGCACCTTTTGGTTCATTGCTGGCTTCATCCAACACCAGCAGTAGTAGCTCTAAGAGCTCATCACGTTCTAATAGCTCGTCAGACACGGAAAATGATAGTGCGCATTTACAGCTTGACCCTCAAAATACTAGGGTAGCGGAAATTAATTGCCAAGAGCTCGTTATAAAAGAAAAAAAGGGTAAAAAGAGGGTACGAAAACCAACGATGTGGAAATCGAAAGTTGCGAAAGTGCTGAGAAATTCTGGTAAAACCTACCAGTCTATGTCAAAATCAAAATTACAAGTACCAGAGAGAAAAGTCGGCCTCCTCTGTGGAGAAAAATGTCGGCTAAAATGTAAAGATAAGATCAATGAAATATCAAGGCAACAGCTTTTTGTGCATATTGGGGACTCAGCAATCTTGAAAGGCAGAAAGAATTTATAGTGCGACACTCACAAAAAATTAAACCTAAATATCGATACTCAAGCACACAAGATTTTAGAGCTCTTAACACTGCGTTTTATTTTGAGGTTGCTGAATCCAAAATTAGAGTTTGCAAACCGTTTTTCAAATCGACTCTCGGGTTGAGTTATAAAGCTATACAAACGGCACTTTCCAAGGTCTCTGAATCAGGAGTCATACAAGGAGATTTGAGAGGAAAACACGGCCATCAACCAACTGTCGATCCACAAATCAAACAGAGCGTTATTGATTTTATAAATTCTATTCCAAAGATTGAGTCTCACTACTTGAAAGCTCAAACGAAAAGACAGTATATTTCAAGTGAGAAATCATTGGCGGATATCTACAGAGATTACAAACAACTTCGTGAAAAGGATGGTTTAGCTATTGCCACGTCTTCCACATTCATCAGGATATTCAACACTGAATTCAACATTTCTTTTTTCGTACCAAAAAAAGATCAATGCGATCTGTGCGAAATGTTTAAGAATTCAGACTCAGAAGAAAAACGCAACTTAAGCTAGGAGTATGAACAGCATCAGAATGAAAAAGTTTTGGCAAGAGCTGAGAAAGATAATGATAAAAGTAGGGCCGATGGTACTATCGTAGCAGTTTACGACTTGCAGGCAGTTTTGCAGAATCCAAAGGGACAAATATCACTATTTTATTTTGTAAATCCAGGATCAACTGTTTCAATTTTACCATCAGCGAATTAAGGGCAAAAGAAGTTATGCGCTACTTTTGGGATGAAACCGAAGGAAAGAGAGGACCTATTGAAATTGGCAGCTGCGTACTCGACTACGTTAAAGCTCAGGTAGACCAAAATCCTAATAAAGAAATTGAAATAATTTTCTACTCGGACAATTGTGGCGGTCAACAAAAAAATAAGTTTCTGTTGTCTGCCTATGCCTACGCTGTCAACAAGTTAAGAGTCAAGTCTATTACTCACAAGTTTTTCATACGTGGACACTCACAAAATGAAGGTGACAACGTCCATAGTGTCATTGAGAAACAAATTAAAAGATACGTGCAGTCGGGTCCAATCTATATACCAGAGCAATATATAACGTTGATTGGTACAGCAAAAAAGACTGGAAAACCTTACACAGTCGTAAAAATGACGCATGACAAGTTTTATGATGTTTAAGCTTTGCAAGAAACGTGGGGCACAAATTTCAATACAGACGAAGAGAGAAATCAAGTTAAGTGGCATGACTTAAAGGTTCTTAGGGTTGAAAAAGATCACCCTGAAGCGTTTTTCTATAAAAAAATCATTTACAGAGGAAACGTTTAAGAAAGTTTGTGTGCGAAAGAGGATTATTCGTGTAAGAGGATCCGGATCGGCCATAGCTATAGATCAATCGTTATTTTCAATTGTTTTAACACACGCATACACTGAAAAAATTGCATTGTCTGATGCAAAAAAAAAGACATAAAAGAATTGATTGATAAGAACGTCATTCTGAAATCCTATTATGATGTTTATTATAAATATGTTTTGGGTGATACTGATAATTGACTGTTTTATTCTTATTGAAGTGTTTGCATTCTTAACTACCTACTAAGAATGTGTCAAATGTGATTTTAGATGAGTATTTAAAATAGTATTTCATAGAAGGGAAGGTTCCTCATTATGTTTATGTTGTGTTACTATTTTATTATGATAATTTTATTTGAACCTACTAGGTAATTAAGGGTCATAAAAGGCTGTATTTTTTATAGAAAATATTAGGTATAGGTATATTATTAATAAAAAATATTTGATTTGATTACATAATTTAGTGTTTTCTTGCTAAGTCATCAACCAATATACCCCTACTGCTGGTCACTGACCCCTCTATCAGTTGGATTTTTATTGAATTAATTCTAAATGCTGCTATATTTAAATTAATATTGACTCTTCAAAAGGGAGCCAACTAGGAACTTAATTCACCAACACAGGTTCAACTCCAAATAAAAAAAATATATACATACATTTGTTAAGCAATACGGAAATAACTACAAAACTCCAATTTTCAGACTCAATTATGATTAAAATACATGATTCATTATGACATCTTTCCTCTATTTGCATTTATAAAGATTTGATCAATTCAGAAAACTCCTGCGGGGCACAGGGACACTGTAATCAGTTTATCACCTTTTCTGAAAAAAAATGATTTTTTGAGTTAATCGCTGTTTAGATCTAGGTGTGCGAAGTGTAAGTGGTGAAGCGGCATCGTTAATACGACATATACAATTGAATAAAACTAAATTTACGAATTTTATCGCGTTTATTTCACTACTTTTACTTATTTTTAATTCCCGACGTTTCGGGTGCTTTACAGCAACCATCGTCACGGGGGGGGGACTGAGATGTTTGACGTCACAATGTCATAATGTTAGTCCGGCTACCTTCAGTTTTTGAATATTAATTTTTGGTCCGATTTACGCAAAACGAGCTTATAGTATCATGAAGTCTGGCAGTGGTATGCTTAGGTTTGGGTTTAATTTTGTTAATTATAGGGTCCCAAGCAGGTGGCAGCACCCATCCATCTTCTCTATCGAAATTTGGATGTTTTTTAATTTCAATAGCCTCGCGTATCATCCTTGGTAGGAATCGGTGTTCTTTTGCGAGAATTTGTGGTTTATCAAAACGAATGTAATGGTGGGGACGATCTAGAACATGTTCGCAGACTGCAGACTTCCCGGAGCGTCGGTGCTTCACGTCAGCTATATGTTCTTTCACGCGGGTTTTTATGGATCTTTTTGTTTGACCTATGTAAGAGAGACCACATTCACAATCTAACTTGTACACTCCTGCATCTTGTAGAGGGATATTACACTTGACGGATGGTAAAAATTGACTAATCTTCTTCGGCGGCTTGTAGTATGTTTTAATAGAAGCTCGCTTCAAGATGTAGCCAACCTTGTCTGTGACTCCTCTGACATATGGTAGTACAGCAGGTACACGCTCGACTGTGGCCGGCTTCACTCGGTCACTGTGACGTAGGCGCGGGACCCGAAGCTTGTTGTCTTGCAATACTTGCTTGACGTGCTGAAGTTAATATAATAACATGCCTGCTGAATATGCAGTATTACTCAAACACTGCCTCACATCTGGCCATCTATTGTGGAGGGAAGAGTTCTACAAGCAAGTAGATGGTGTGGCGATGGGCTCACCTGTATCTCCCATAGTCGCTGACATATTGGAGGACTTTGAGGAGAAAGCCCTTCTTACTGTGTAAATCCAAGATTAAAGGGTAGAACTTGAGTATGTTTACTTACTTTCGGCATGTTGCTGTTTCGTAGGTGTGTAGAAAACCGGATACCCTTTTTACTGAAAATGAGGCATTCCATCTCAGTCCTCACGGGTGACAACGCATCTGCATTTTGCTTTATAATGGAAGATAGATGTAGATGTCTATGAGCCGCAGCAACCACTTACCATCAGGTGGACTGTGTGCTTGTTTGTCAGCCGATTCTATAAAAAATTATTTATGGAAACTGTTTAAATGACCTTAACTCTATAAACTCTAAAATACAATTCACAATGGAGTTAGAGGCAAATAATTCTTTAGCTTTCTTAGATGTTTTAGTCATTCGAAATCCTAATAACACAATTGGTCACACTGTGTATAGCAAAAAGACCCATACCAACCGATATTTAAATGGAGAATCTAACCATCATCCTTCACAGTTAGCTACCGTGGGTAAATCTTTGTTTCAGAGAGTACGAGGGATCTGTGACAGAAAACATCTGGCCGCCGAACTTCAGGACGTCAACCAAGTATTGCAAGACAACAAGCTTCGGGTCCCGCGCCTACGTCACAGTGACCGAGTGAAGCCGGCCACAGTCGAGCGTGTACCTGCTGTACTACCATATGTCAGAGGAGTCACAGACAAGGTTGGCTACATCTTGAAGCGAGCTTCTATTAAAACATACTACAAGCCGCCGAAGAAGATTAGTCAATTTTTACCATCCGTCAAATGTAATATCCCTCTACAAGATGCAGGAGTGTACAAGTTAGATTGTGAATGTGGTCTCTCTTACATAGGTCAAACAAAAAGATCCATAAAAACCCGCGTGAAAGAACATATAGCTGACGTGAAGCACCGACGCTCCGGGAAGTCTGCAGTCTGCGAACATGTTCTAGATCGTCCCCACCATTACATTCGTTTTGATAAACCACAAATTCTCGCAAAAGAACACCGATTCCTACCAAGGATGATACGCGAGGCTATTGAAATTAAAAAACATCCAAATTTCGATAGAGAAGATGGATGGGTGCTGCCACCTGCTTGGGATCCTATAATTAACAAAATTAAACCCAAACCTAAGCATACCACTGCCAGACTTCATGATACTATAAGCTCGTTTTGCGTAAATCGGACCAAAAATTAATATTCAAAAACTGAAGGTAGCCGGACTAACTATGACATTGTGACGTCAAACATCTCAGTCCCCCCCCGTGACCATGGTTGCTGTAAAGCACCCGAAACGTCGTGAATTAAAAATAAGTAAAAGTAGTGAAATAAACGCGATAAAATCCGTAAATTTAGTTTTATTCAATGTGTAGTGTTCGCGTAAACTTAAGAAATCATTACGACATATAAAAGTTACTCACAAAAAATTATTCGCAGGCGTGGGAAGTATTAAAAACAAGATACGGTAATAAACGTTTAATTGTCAACTCAGTGCTAAGAAGATTGTTTCTTCAAAGGAAAATTAACCCTCAATCAGCAAATCAATTAAAATGTTTATTAGACACAACAACTGAGTGTTTAAATAATATAAAGAACTTGTCTATTAGTGTTGATTCTTGGGATCCTATTATAATTTTTCTCGTTGTGCAGAAAATGGAACAAGAATCTCATAAAGAGTGGGAAGAATATACCTATAAAAATGAGTCCGAAGATTTACCGACGTGGAGCGACTTAACGAAGTTTCTTCAATCAAGATATCGAACATTAGAACATATTTCATCAGGCCCACGAGAGAAGACCATCAAAGAGCGATCTTTCCACGTTAGCACCGCTTCATCAGAAAAATCCAGTGAATCGTCAACGTCAGCCCCGCCGCGGTCGTCGGAGCAGAAATGTATTATGTGCAAGGATAACCACACGTTATGTCACTGCAAAGAATTTACCAACCTGCAACCTTCACAAAGAGCGGATTATGTGAAAACACACAAATTGTATTTCAACTGTTTAGTACCGGGACATGCGGCTCATAAATGTCGACTCCGTATGTTCTGTCGTATATGCAATAGACGTCATCATTCTCTTCTACACCAAGCTGAAAGGAAAGAAATCAATAGCAAAGAAACATCACACCAATCAGCGTCACATTGAAACCTAGAAGAGAGGGAAGGCATTCAAGTTAATTCAATGATAGCGTCACATCATACCACTAAACAAGGCATTGCATTATTAGCAACCGCTATGGTGAGCGTTCGAAGTGAGCAAAATTACACCATGATATTAAGGGCGCTCATAGACCAAGGATCGCAGGCTTCATTTATAAACGAAAAGACGGCTCAAA